CAACCTATGTTATGACTCTATGCATAATTTATTTATGATACGGGGCATAGGTATAAAGTGCCATTTTTTGAAATAATAGATCATGACACATTGATTTTTTGCAAAGAAATTTTAGTTACATTAATATATCAAAATGAAAAATCAGAATGCATATAAAAACAGAAAAAATTACATCGAAAAGTGGTATATCTTTAGAGGGTGGAAGCATGGGTGTAAGGTTTGCGACGAATACAATCATCATTCACATCTATATTGCAAAACCTGCAAAAAAGTAGCGAACAGAATATATAAGTGATGTGAATGCAATAAAAATCTTCAAATACATAATTAAATAATAACAATAATACATATAAATTCTTAGCATTAAATGATACATATGTAAAATTTGATACGTGGGGATAATTTATTTCTGTATTTGCGCACCAAATATTTTACGAATCCTGTTCTGTCTAATTTTGTGTATCTGTATGCATAATTGTTTTATACATTGCAACGAATTTTCTAAAATTTTTGATTGGTTACTACATATCGTGTAATGTATATTAGTGACAATCAAGATTTGCCAGGTATATGGGACACAAGCCATTCTTCTAAATTAAGTGTCCTAATCCAATTTCGTTATCTCATGACACAAGCCAAATCCAAAAAAGGCTAAATTATATATATGCAGTATTGTATATAAAGCATCGATCTCTCCCAAAATTAACCTTTTAGAGTTCTATAAAGCGTTAGTAAAGAGCCTATTAGTACAACAAGATATTTATAATTTTTATATATTTTTAGCTTTGAAGAAGCAATTAACTTTTAAAAGAAGTGAAGTAACACAAATTAATGCTATTTTCAAGAACAACTATAATGGAAGTATCATTATTTTTAACATCATGATTTAGTTAGCATATCACGGATGATTTATCGTTATTAGCTAGAATGATGTGATTCTGGTATTTGCAAAATTATTATCTGTATGACGGCCGTATAACTTTTCTTGATTGCGTGCATCAAATATCTGACTAGCATATATATTAAATATATTATATCACTTTCGTCGAAAGCTTTGGTTAATATGTTAATGTAAAAAAGAGAAAATAGAAATTTGCTTTGCTAGTATTACATTGGCCACTCTCATCGAGAGCTTTGCATTAATATAACTATATACCAAAAAAGCACTTTAATAATTTCTTCTGAGATTTATAAAATCATATCAACATTTATAGTAACTATAAAACAACATAAATTAATATTATTTTTGTATACTTTTAGGATGTGAAGTTCATTAATACATCAAAGGCATTTTATTCATACATTGAAACTCTAAAAACTTCTTCTGCTAAATATTGGAAATATATTCAAGCATGCGCGAAAGAGAAAGACATTGAGTTTCTATATCAAAGAATAGAGATTGAAAAAGATATGAATAAGAATAATGAAAATGATTATTATGGTGATGATGATAATGATATTGAAGAACAAGATACTTGCAGTGGTAGTATTGAGAGCGATGATGATAATCTAAACAGTAATAATTGTAATGATGTAGAATCTGAAAAATCAGTTGAAGATTTATTAATTACAGAATTTAATAGTATTGAAATAAAAGATAGATTTATTAATATAAATATACTATGCTCAAGTTAGTCTTAATATTACAAATAGTCATTAATGTAATATTTCTGGCAACTGCTAACCCGTAACTAACACATATCAACTTAGTTAGTTTACTACATCCTTTTCTAAAATGACAACTGCATCAAGATTGATTTGTGATAATATTAAAAATGCAAATCTTGTTCCTGAAGATTTGCTGTCAAATGGCATTGTTTATGGAGATTTTTTAAAAAAATATTACAAACCAATTTTTAACGTCATCGAGAATTATAATTGTATTAATGAATTGTATTCGTATGATTCTGATATATTTCAAGTTGAATTAAGTATTCACAAAAAGGAATTTATTAGTTTACGTATCAAATATGGATATGCAAGTGCACCAAATCTTTGGGATGATAATAAGAAATTTTACAATGCACTAAGTTCTTTTTTAACTCAATTGGAATTTGTTTGGAAAATACTATTTTATCAAAAAGAATTACCTGATCTTAACGAAAGATCATATACACACCAGATCGTCAAGTATATCTTTGATTTTATGCTTTATAATATAGAAAATATCAATATAGAATTTGATGGTATATTATTATTTTTTATTTTTTAATTTATAAAATAAATTTAACCCTCAATATCTTTTTTATCAATTCTATTGAAAGGAATAAGTGAGTCAACTAAAAACAGAAATTGGGGTCACTCAGGGCCAATTCAACTTCCCGATATAATGATCTCGAAAAAATATGAAAGATCCGATCACAAATGGGAGTTTTGTTTTTCTGAAGTCAGCTATGCCCCATATTCATTTAAAGAAGATCATTATTTATAGGATATAACAAGACAAGCAAAATTTTCTAAAGATGACTGGAATCACGGATTGAAATATATACAAAATTATGATGTACCTGAAGTTAGAGATATCTGGGATGAGTTCAATTATATAATGATTCATTTTTATAAAACAATTATGGACATTTACGTTCTAGACTATGAGATAAAACCATTCCATAGAATGGTCTTGGTCAAATCAATAGAATTACTATTACAAAAGAGAAATAGCAATTTTGCAATCCAACAAGTGTGCAGTCTATGTGAATCATTACTATTTGTAAATAGTTTAATCTTGGAAAATATTAGGAAAATAGATTTAATAGATCAATTAATACCATCAGGAATGCCAGCAATTCCAAGAACAGTAGGACAAGAGAATATAGTCCCGACAATTAACTCACCAAATGGTTATTATATTTGACATAATAAAAATATAGTTTATTTTGACAATAGGATTTTTACTCTGTTTAATAGTAGAGTGATAACCTTGCCTTACAGCTGTATATTAATAATTTTTTTTTTACAGGTCGGTCAATAATTCGTGTTTTAATATATTGTATATATATGATCGGAATTTAATTTCTCTTGGCGTTTTATTATTTGCTAGAGCAAATTTAACGATTTTAGAAGAGATTCTAAAGTTATATACATCTTAAATTTATATTTTTATTCTGTATTTTATTTTTTATATCAATAAAGCTGGTCCTGGTGGCCAATTTCGCATATATAATCAGTTTACTTTGCATGTGTATTTCGTGGATTTATTTATTGTATTGATATCGATGACTATTAACATGCATATGATCAAAAATTTTTCTTGGCATTGGCTTCATGATAAATTAAATATATCCATATCTTAAATAAAAAATAATGGCAGATATACAACCCACAATAGAATCATTAAGAGAATTAAATTCCAGGCTTGTTCTAAAAATTGATGAATTAAGAAAGAAGTTTACAGAGATTGAAGCTGAGAATACTGAACTTAAAAGGGAGAAGACTGTATTCTTGGCTAAAGAGCAGGACTCGTTGCTAGAATAGTGAAATTAAAACAATCTGCAAAAGAAAATGCAGAGAATTCAAAGTTAAGAGATTTCGAACTTAATGAACTCAGATCCAGAGTTTCGAAATTAGAACAGAAGGAATCGCAAAATGATATCTAAATTTTCAGTTAATGCCATCTTTGCTAAAACAGAAAATTCTAATGATGTATCTTCAGAGGTGATCTCTTGAAGTGAAAATGCTTCGGTATCTGATATACCTGAAAGCATTTCAAATTCTGATGTATCTGGTAATACCCCAAATTCTGATGTCCATCAGGAGTCTTCATCTCAACTGGAGGTTAGTTCATACAAATATTCTGCACCGCTTATTTGCACAGAGATTAAATCATCGGAAGACAAGGAAATAGATGAATTCTTGGGTTTAACATATAAAGAACAGGTTAGTAATAAGATAATCCAGAGCATTAAGGAGAAGAAACTTCTAGATCAAGAATTACTCTCAACTCCTAATAATAATACTTCTAATATTTTGTGTGAGCAAAGTTTAATACAAAAAAAATGCCAAAAAATTTCTGTTACTAAAAATCATAAAAATCTTCTGATCAAATTTCTGATATGTCTAGTAATAAAATCTTAAAACAAAATATCAAACTTATCGATTCCCCTGATAAACCATTAACAAATCTAATTGTAGAACAAGAATTACAGCAACAGATTGCCATGTTAACTGGAGGTAATAATTCAGCTATAGTAGTTGAAAACTCAATGCAAGATATTGATATTTCTATCAATGATTTGTCTCCAGTTTCAGCGCAGACCATAGTATGCATATTTTGAAAAGCAATTCATTCTGGTCAAGATACAATTTTATATTGGTATCACTTTGCTGGAAAATATGACAGAAGAATAAATGAAGTTTTTGTTAGTAACAAAGTCGGTAAGAAAAAAGCAACCAGCTTAGTGTATCACGAAATTAAACAGCTTCTACCAGACATAACAGATGTGAATTTACGACATAAAATTCTCAAATCTAGAAAAATTAGAATACTTTTCAGTGCGATAGAAATAGAAAAAATTAGACAAGTTTCATATAGCGCAAATGCAATTTCTAGCCTTAGTTATATACAAATCCAAAATATCATAAATTATGTTAACGAACGGACTTTTAACTCAAATATTCTATTAACAAAAAAACCTTGGAGGAAGATATTATAACTGAGGATGGCAAACAATCGCTGGAGACTGAGGTGTGTATACCTATCAAATCTCATGTTTTCCCAAAAAACTACCCTGAAATCAAAGTGAGTGCATCATTTAATCCAACTCGTGATCGTGCTTATTTTCGTAATAAAATATTGGGTCGATATTCTGATATATATAGAGAATTTAGTAGTGAAAAATTCGATTATTATGGAATTATTGATAAATCATTATGTCCAACATGCAAGTCGAGTCATAGAGATGAGAAAAGTATAAGAGGTAGATATCTTATTTTATTAAATGTAGACAACAAGAAATTGAAATAACTGGTAAGTAAATAATTACATAAATCTGGTCAAGTAGATAGTGATATTTTTTTTTCTGCAAAGCAGGACACTCTGTGTCTGGCAGCTACGTGATTTTGAATTAAGCTGCATTAATATAAAATGATAACATGTCTTCTGATACTACCTCCAGCAAGATATTAACTAATGACTATTGCAAATGGCATGCTAATTTAGTTGATTTGCCAAGTTTTCAGACAGAAAAAATTCGTTTTAAATTATATAGAGCATACATGGAAGAGACTGGACTAGATCCTTGGATAAAGTCTAAAACTTCTGAATCCTCACAAAGCGAAAATGCTGATAATCATATCATACAAGACAGCTCGTTGGAAACTCAGGTAATGGCGCCAAACAAAAATC